TTATAGCGATATTTTTATTAAAAATAAATTTCTGCTGTAACACAGTCATTTTGGTGTCACTGCTTCTGACAGTGTCATCCAGTACAGTCTACACTACCCAACCCCCTAACTGATCTGACGACTGACTGGCCTGGAATAGGCTGAAAGTGTAAAAATATTCTTAAAAAGTTTAGATAAATTTGTGGATTCTGTGTATAAGGAAAACCACTCCACAGCTGACTTCATCTCCTGTTTTCAGATGGATACCCTGAAGGTTCCTCACATGGAAATGGCTCTGAGGTGCTACAGGAAGAGAACTATAGTGACAATTTGGAATCTTTTCTCGAGTCCCCAATTTTTGTTTATAAAATGAAGGATTGGACAATAAACCATACTAATACCACCAGAAACTAACCCACAATCCAACAGCTTCAGGTTTATTGCAATGAGAGAGAGCTCACACTTAGAAGAACAATGGAGTGTCTGGCCAAACAGGATTTTGGGGCAAGTATGGAGTTTAGGTCAAATTTAAATGAAGTAGGATTTTGATAGGAGCTCTGGTAGCACAGTGCCTAAGGCACTTGACTGCTAACCAGAAAGCTGGTGGTTCAAACCCACCAGCCACTCCTCAGAAGGAAGGTTGGGCAATCTACTTCTGTAGTGATACCACCTCGGAAACCCAAGGAGGGGTCGCTATGAATCGGGGCAGACTTGACAGCACATAGCAACAACAACAACAAGGCAAAGCAGGGGTGTGAGCCAAGGGATCAACATCATTCCTGGGCTACAAAATGGATCTAGGGTCCTGTTTTCGTGGAAACTGCAAAGTTTAGATGTGCAATATTGTTTTCAGAAACACTTCTCTGAAACTCTGCACCTGGATTGGAAATTAAAGCTGTCTTGGGTTCTCTAGGCAAGAGTGCTATGTTTCATTCTTACTGATATAATTTCAACAGTAGTTTCTGATTACACACACATACCCTCTGCTGCTATTGAGTGGAACCCAACTCATAGGGTTTCCAAGGCTGAAATCTTTATGGAAGCAAATTGCCTCATCATCCTGCAGAGAAGCTGGTAGATTCAAACCACTGAACTTTCAGTTGGCAACTGAGTGTTTTAACCACTGTGCCACCAGGGCTCCTTGTAGTTTCTGATAGTCTGTGATTTTAGAAAACAAAACTTTTCAGTAAGAAAGCAGTAGTTACTCAAAGAAGGGGGTTGCTATGATACTTTACAGCTTGTCCTTAGGAGAAATATTATTTCTTGTTAACTTTACAGCTAGCTTTATCTGTGTCTGTTAGTCTGGTCTGGTGGATGACAGAAATTTTTACTTTCTCACTTCTTCAATCTTATTATCTTTTCTTGGTTTCTTCTCTGTCATTGTTTCTTCTACTGTCATCAGTAATTTCAGAAGAAGACAGTTCTCTCCTTCCCTAAAACTAATTTTTTATCTGCATTCTAAATCCCTTCTAACATCACTTAATACCTGGATCCCAACAACAGTCCAATCTTCTAGCATCTTTGATTTTTCTTTTCTGCCAACCTCTCTAAAATCAGGGTAGGGGTTAGGGAAGGAAACAAATACTCTTAGTCTCCCTGTTAGTTAAGGTTGCGTGTCAACTTGGCTAGGCCATGGTTTTGAGTAGTTGGGGAGTTGGATGTGGTTATTCCCCATGTTGTTGTTGTTGTTGTTGGGTGCCATTGAGTCATTTCCGACTCATAGTGACCCCATGCACAGCAGAACAAAACACTGCCCAATCCTACGCCAGCTCCATGATACCTGCTATACTTGAGCCCATCATCGCAGCCACCGTGTCAATCCATCTCGTTGAAGGCCTTCCCTACTTTTGTCGACCCTCCACCCTACCAAGCATGACATCCTTCTCCAGGGAATGGTGCCTTCTGACAACATGACCGAAATAGGTGAGATGAAGTCT